TTCCTACAGGCTGCTGAGGTGCGAGCTGCTACAAATAACTTTCTTATCCAGTGAGGGACTGTCTAAGGGGTGAAATTCAGAGCCTGCTGTGGATTTGTGTTGGATAGATCCAAATGTTGAAAGCTTGTGGAACTTGAGTGTACTCCTTGATCCTAGGTGATAACAAACCTACTGAGATGGTTTAAATTGCCCCTGATAACTACATGTAAAGTTCCTGGCACAGTGGGGCCACTTGAAGTATTTATTCTCATGTTTTGTACATCTCAATGACTTTTTCCTAGGGGTTGGTTTAGTCAGGGATCCTCTACTTCTATCACTGGCCCAGACTTTGCCATGGAAGCTGGTGGGGACAAATTGCCATCTGAAAGATGGAGCTTTTTTGGACCCAAAGCCATCCAGAAATCCACCAATGATCCAGGTATGTCCTCTAAAATCTCCTGCCCTGCAAGAGCTAGGGGAGAACTGTCACAAAACAAACTTGCTAGCTATTTCTGGAGCCTTATCCTGCTTACCTTGTTACTTTCTAGGACCACCTTGTGAGTGTGTGCTATTCGGATCATTTCTGTGCCTAAATATAAAGCAGTTGGGTATGCCAAGGATCTGAAAGTAGAAATAACTTACACTGAGCTGCAGTGGAAGGGCAGGGTGTGAAGGTGACAGCTTTTTACTCTTTCTCTGCTGCCTGGTGGCACCAGAACTGGAAGTGTCAGCCACTGATGTGGAATAGGCTTTAGATGAGATGAAGCTGCGGTGTCTTGCATAGGCTTTCTGCAGTGTCGGGTATGGGTGACACTGCTCGCTCCTGGCAGCAATGGAAAAAGGACTTGGCTAGTTTTCCTAGCTCTTACTTGCTGTGATTTTTTTCATCAGGAGGATTTACCATCCAATCCTATAAGGGTGCCCAGAAGCCATCCCCAATGGAGCTGATGCGTGCTCAGGCTACTAGGATGCCAGAGGACCCAGTCACCTTCAAGCCACCCAAAATGGACATTCCAGTCACAGAAGGGAGGAAACAATCTCCACGTTCCCATAATATCAAGCCTCGGGATCTGAACGTGCTCACTCCCACTGGGTTCTAGGAAGAATGCTTCTGGTGTCTTTTAGCAGGCTACAGGGTGTCTTAGGCTCTGCTTCCCTGTCCCATTGTGCTGCAGTAAAATAGGAAAGTCTCCCTTCCAGCTCTTCATCTCAGAAAAGGAAACAGTTGTGGCTGTCCTCCTAAAGCCAGTCTTGGTAAAACTCCTGCACTGGTACTAAACCACTGTAAACCATCCTGTCTGCTGTATTGCACCAGTTTGGTCTGCTAGGCTGTGCCTAGGTGTGCTTCCCAGTACACTGCCCTACAGTAAGACCTTGAACCATGTTTTGTGGGACAGGACTGCATGTGGTGTGCGAGCAGGCTGGCTTGTCTACCTGTAGTCCGATTGTCTTTTCCTGCTCAGTGCTGAAGTACCCTCAGGAGCACCGTGGTTCTGTCTGGCATATACAGAACACCAGCGGAAAATAATGAAGACAAGCAAGGACTGAAAACTGGACCCTTAACTGCCAGAAGGAAGTTGCTCTGGGAATGTGTTGGATTGCTTTTAAGCGTGGCACTCCCTCGCTATCCAGTTCAATACCTAGTATTTCTTTTGTTCTTGGATTTTTTTTTTAAAGGAAAAGTGGAGCAGTAACCATTCTAAGATGCTCTGAATAGAAAGGCAGGGAGCAGAATCTAATGAGGCTTGGCAGTAATGAGGAAGAATTGCTTCTCTTCCAGCTCTTCGTGTTCCTCCAAAAAGGTGGAAATGACTAGAACTGGTGCGTCTTGAACCAAGTAATCCTCCTCTCTTCTTTCTGCAAAACAACACTGTCCTGCCTTCTCCTAGACAAGAGACTTACAGGTGTTCTGGCACTCTGGGTGCTGCTTGACTTGTTTTGGTGGTTTTTTTCCTAGCATCTTGTATGAGTCATGTAGTAGAAGTGTATTAGACACCAGGGGCACTTCTCAAATAGAATTTTCTGTTTCATCAGCATTAAATGCATTTTGCAGGGCTGGGGGAGGACTGAGGGCAGATCAAGGCTCAACACTCCTCCCTGCTCTGGTACAGCTACATGTAATTTTTGGCCTAGCTGGAACTGGTTACTGGGAACAGCTATCACTTGTTTTCATGAAAAATGGAAGGAACTCTTGGCTATCATCTAATCCCTTAAGCATTATAGGCAGCATTGCTCTGTAATCTTCACCTGTCCTGTGGCAAACAGGTCTTTTCTCTCACGATTGTGTTGCAGAGCTCCCTCAGCCAGCAGCAGGCTTTCTGTACTGGTGAGGTGGCAGCAGCGTCTGGTACTGGAAGCTTCTCTGTTGCAAGGATGTTACACAGAGGTTACTTAACAGCTGGTAACCATTGAGCTCTGGGTTTTCTGCCTTCTTAAACCACACATTCCTCCTGGAGGGTGAGGCAGGGTTGGCTCGCTTGGCTAGCTGCTGTCCCCTTGGAAGAAGCATGTTTTGTGGCTCTGCTTCCTCTCAAGCTTGACCAGCACTGCCAAGGATGTGTTGTGTTGAAAGTCTCCCACCCAGCCAAGCAGTTTTCACTGTCACCACTCATTTGCACCTTGGCAATCAGTCTCTCATTTGACATTAATTTATTTGTTGTCTGTATTCATGTCTCTAATGTGTGTATGATTTTTTTTTTGTTTGTTACAAGAAAATAAAATCCTTGTGAATGGAGGTCCTTGGTGTGTCTTAGCACTGGCAAAGCATCAGCAGGAGAAATGTGGGGCTGTCCAGTGAGCGTGGGGTCAAGGTTCTGCCTAAAAAGGCTCTGGCAGCACTGGCACTAGGGTAAAATGTTTGCTCTGTAAAACTGCCCTTTGACAGGGAGCCTAGGTTTAAAGCCAGGCTCAGTCCTGTCTTAGGGCTTGTGCAGATGAAACTAAACATGAAATCTTTGTTTTCTTCAGCTGGTGATTCTTCATGTTCCTGAGATTGCTTCTCTTGCAGCTTGTGTGCTGTGTTTGCACCTGTATTGTGGAGGTGGGCACGGGGGTGGGAGCCAGGCTGTTATTTGCCTAGAGGTGGCCAGCTCCCCTTTGCCTTCCTCTGAAAAGTTCTGGTTTGAGTGCTGTTGTGGCATTTGTAGCTGCTAAAGTACTGCTGATAGAGCACAGAGGGGGTGTCTGAGCCAAACGCTGGTGTTCCCTGTGCTCCTAGAGTGCTTGCAGAACTAAAAGTGGTGAAATAACTCCTGGAGCACCCAGGTGCTCTGGTACAGGTTGCTGCTGTGGGTCTTCATTACACAGGCTAATCTCATAGTTTAATTTGGAAAGGCTGGGGTTAAAGCGTGGCCTCTTGGTGTGATAGTCTCTATTTCTTGTATTTTACTCCAACATCATTCTTGGGATATGACTAACATATCAGAAAATAACATCCTAATAATATAACTATGGACCTTCTGCTGGAATGTGGCTTCTTTTCTAGTCTAGTGATAGAAGTCTAATCCAGTTAAAGGACCTATTTGGAAATACATCTGAATGTATTGGCTGGGGCAGGGGCTGGAGCACAAGGCTGGGGAGGAGCGGCTGGGGGAGCTGGGGGGGCTCAGCCTGGAGAAGAGGAGGCTGAGGGGAGCCCTCATTGCTCTCTGCAACTGCCTGAAAGGAGGGGAGCCGGGGGGAACAAGCGATGGGACGAGAGGGAACGGCCTCAAGCTGCGCCAGGGCAGGTTTGGGTTGGATATTAGGAAAAACTTCTTCCCTGAAAGGGCTGTCAGGCCCTGGCCCAGGCTGCCCAGGGCAGGGGCTGAGTCCCCATCCCTGGGGGTATTGAAAAGCTGGGGAGATGTGGTGCCTGGGGACATGGGTTAGTGGTGGGCTTGGCAGTGCTGGGTTAATGGTTGGACTCGATGATCTTAAAGCTCTTTTCCAACCTAAACGATTCCATGGCTCTATGAACGAGCATACCATGAAGGAAGAGCAGCCTTCTAGAGCAGGGAGTGCTTGGAGTTTGCGCTGTTGGGAATGCTTCTGGCTACTACTCTCAAAACAGACTTCTTCACTTTTCCCTGGATGGCTTATCCCTGGATTAGAGGGACAATGTCATGTGGATGAGTGGTTTGTTCTACATCTGGCAATTGGAAAGAGCCATTCCTGGCTGTGACTGTGCTGCTCCGTGCTCCTGGTCTCCTCCTTAGGACCCTGCCAAGGGTTGCCTACTGCAGAGGCAGAGAAAGCGGTGGTGGGCAGCTACAGGAGTCGTCTTTCTCCTGCTCCCAACCTCTGTTGCTTCTGAACTGCCTGAGGAGACCTCTTATAGAAATGCATAATCACTCTCTGACCTCAGCTGTGATTTGAATTCAATATTCATCGTAACACGTGTGCTTGCCTGCACTGCGGACACCTCAGTGCGTTCTGGAAGAGGCGCAGCCTTTTCAGCTGATGCTGCTCTCCAGGCCCCCCTCTTGACATGCTAATCACCTTGGGCAAAGCCATGGAGATGGATGTGATTTGGAAGTGTTCCTCTCCTGAGGACTGACCGGCATGGCTTGGGGATCTCTGCACCGTGAATGCCCTCGCTGCAGCCTGCACCTGCTTTTTTTCTTAAATATTGTCACCTTTTCCTAAATATCAAACAGGTATTTTGGCATTTTGCTTGCTCTGACTATTAGAGTTTATGGCTGCGTTAGTCTAACGCTATCCCAAGGTACAGCTGACAGCGCTGCCTGTCCTTTGGGCAGGGCTGGCACCAAGATGGAAGAGGGCACCAAGATGGAAGAGTCTCAGCAAATATGAAAATAATTTATTTTTTAAAAGTGTACAAAGTGCCTTGTAAAACTGTAGGATGAGGCAAGTTAGAAAGGAAATTCTGAGACCATGTAAACCATTTTTCCAAAGAAATGTATGAACAAACCCACATGATGTGTGACACTTGAGACTGCAGCGTGAGATGGGGGCTTTGATGGGGTCTTATAGAGGAAACATGAAGTTCTTTGTGCCCCCTGCCGCAGTGGTTGTCTCCATCAGGTACCAGTGAAAATGAGGAACAACTCCCGAAGCATGCACAATTTCTCCATGATCTGCAGGGGAAAAGGCTGCCCCAGGACCTGCTGCGTTTGGCTGATGAAGTCCTCTATCTTCAGTTCAATGTCCAGATGGTTGATGTCATCGCCGTCCTGGAGCTTGGGCTTGGCTTTCTGAATGATCAAGTCCATCCGGTCGTTGAGTGAGCTCCGTAAGTGCTCTGCAAGAGGAAACGCTGGTGAGGAGAGGCAACACACAGTGGGCTCCTCCTGCGGTGAGGAGCGGTTGGGAACAGTGCTGGTCCTCTCGTGGTTACCCTTGACGCTTCTGCACAAGACTAGCCTGGTGGAAGAAGGTACTGTCCCCTCCTGGAGCTCCGTCTGCACGTGGAGAGAGCCCAAGAAACGGGCAGAGCTTGTAGCATCCTTTTGTCCCGTGCTAGTGGCAGGCTGGACAGCTGTCCAGCTGCAAAGGAGAGTCTCCAAAAAGCTTAACAGCAGTGTTAGGGCTTCAGGGGGAATATGACTCTATGCACATGTGCATTCCTCCATGAGAGCCTTAACCCTGGGCTAAAGCAGCTAAAGTTGGGAAGAAACTTCAGGAATTTTCTGGTAAAACAACTTTAGGGAGTTTTAGAGAGCGTTCTGTGGCTGTGCTGCTCTCCTGGGGTCAGAAATACTGCTCCTCCCATGGCTGCTGGGGGTGGTGCTCCCTGCCCAGCCTGCTGAGTGTGCCCTGGCTTTACCATCCCGCTGACTTCTGCTTTTCCGCCTAAACCACCCTATTCTTCCACCCGCTGTGTGTGCAACTTAAGACAATAGTGGGTACAAAGCACCCCCTTGTGTACTCCTCAGTGCCGGGATTGATCCTTTAGGAAGTAGGCTATTTCTTAGGGGCTAGACTTGGCAAAGCAGGGTGGGTGCTCTGCTTGATGCAGCATCACTACTTTGCTCTGACTGCTGGGCATAGTTACTAGCATGGACGGAGGCACATTATCTTTCTAAGACTCAGTGGCTGTGAGTTAAAGAGTGATGGGAAGAGAGGAGGAAGGGTACTTTGGCTGTTCTGCTGCAGCCTCTTGATAAGATTGGGTTTATTAAGGAGGCTGCTTACCCAGTATTACATTTTGGTAACTCATCAGCAGCAAACTCAAGTACTGCAGCATCTCATCCCATCTTTGCCATGTTGCCGTTTCATCCTATGACAGAAGACAGTATTTGGTTGTTAGAAGAGGTTTTCTCAGGAGAAAACAAGGCAAAGGAGAGGTTGGACTGGATACCTGGTATTGCAGCAGCACAGAGGAGTGGTTCAAGAAGTACAGGATCTTGGCCAGAGACAAGGGCAAGGTCGTGGGCACGTCACAACTGTGCTGGAACAACAGCTCTAGCAGTTTGCAGCGCAGGAGCTGGCTCTCCATGGTGTTTAAGAAAGCTTCCCTGGAAGATAAAGGGATTTATGCTGGGGAGACAGCACAGCCTGACCTGGGACAACAGCTCTAGCGTCTTCCCGGTGTCCCGCTGGTGCTGATCTGGTGCAGGGGCTGCCCAGCAGTGCAGTGGAAGGAAAACCACCAGATGTGATAGAGAGACCTTTGTTATGCAGCTCGGCCACGGACATGTTTACATCCCTAGGTCTGACCTGTGGCAACTCGAGGTTGGTACGGTCTGTGAAGCAAGCTTAGCTGCTTCACTTCACCCTGCCCAGCAGCTGGTGCGGATGTTACCCGTTCCTGCTTGATTGGAAGGAGCACAGCTCAAGAAAGTCGAACTG